AGGCGGGCGGTGAGGTGGCGGCCTGGTCCCGCACGGATGGCTGAGGGCAGCGGCCCTGCGGGCGAGACTGGGATGTAACTGTCCGGCAGGGCATTGATGGGAAATCCCTAGCCTATAGGCCAGAGACGGCGCGAGGCTCAGGCCTTCCCGATGTCCCACTGCGAGACTCGGCTGGCTTGTCCCTTTGGACCTCGGTGTCTCATAATTAAAACAGCCCCACCTTGGGTACGGCACTCTCCGATGTATGAAAAGCTTTCACCTGGGTCTTCTCATTTGGTCCTCACACAGCAGCTTTTGGAAGGAGACCAGGGAATGAATTATTGTGTCATTTTGCAGACAAAAAACTAAGACTCAGAGTGGAACGCCCAGTGAGGTCGTGGCAATGGGACTTAGGTCTTACTCCTCCAAATGTAGCGCCCTTTCTACCGGGCCACTCTGCCTCACCTGTTAAAGGAAGGGGATTAGTTAGGCGAGCGACTGACAGTTTTTTCTTTTCTTCCTCTTTTCCTTCTTTTCCCCTTCCCCATCGTCTTCCCCTTCTTCTTCTTTCCTTTCCCTCTTTCTATCCAGATCAGAGCTGACTAAGAAGTATTCAGAAGCCAAGTCATGGATCCACCTGCACGTAAAGAAAAATCCAAAATCAAAGAACCTGTCAGCAGAGTTGAGAAGGCCAAGCAGAAATCAGCCCAGCAGGAGCTGAAGCAAAGACAGAGAGCAGAGGTGAGACTGAGGAGTGGGCCTGTATACCTGGAGTCTGCTGGAGACAATGGCAGAACAGAGAAATAGCAGAACTGTGGGGAGTCCTACCTGCATCCAGGCAAAACAGGTGTCCTCTAAAACAGGTTTAGAGAAGAGATTGTTGAGGTCCAGAATGGTGAAGTGACAGACAGCCCAGAGTCACATGCCAAGTTAGTGTCAGAACCCCAACCAGTCGCAGTTCTCCAGAAGACTCCTGGCACGGAGCTTTTGTGGTAGGGACCTGAGGGAAGGAAGAAAGGAGAAAGAGAAGGGACGTGCTAGGGAGCGATCAGAGTAAGAGAAAGCAAGTGTCAGACACTGCAGCTCAGATGTTCTTTCTGGATTTGGCCCGCAGAGTAGCTGCTCATAACCAGAAAGGGGGGGCCCAAGCTTTGCACCTACCAATGTGTCCTTTATTCAATCAACACTTACCAATCAACAATTACCATCAATTTGTGAATAAAAAGCCTAAACTGTTTACACTGCCTAGGTTGAACCACATCAAACATGAGTATTTTTTTTTAGTATTTAATATCAGGGAAAAGCTTGCTGCACTCTTCTATTTGTTTTGTTCATTTTTTTTTTTTTTGAGAAATTTAAAAATACACAAAAATAAAATAATATAACAAACACTTGGGTGCTCAGCACCCCAGAATGGTAGTGGTTAACATTTTGTCATATTTGCCAAAAGGAGACTTTTTAAAGTAAGAGAAATTAAAATTGCATATAAATTTGAAGTCCTCTTTGTCTATTTCCTGTCTTATACTCTTTTTTCCCTCCCCATGGGCAACCACTATTTTAAAAAATACTTTTACATTCAAATATATTAATAGATATCCTTGAACAATATACAGTATTCTTGGCATATAAAATTCTACATTAATAAAATTCCATGTTTTATTTTACATTATGTTTACACTTTTTTAGAACTATTCATGTTAATATAAAAATTTAGTTTATTTCTCATCATCGCTCACAGTAGTATATTTTATGAAACCACTTGAGTGTATTTACCCATTCCTCCAGTGATGGACATTTAAATTATTTATCTTTTTTTTTTTTTTTTTTTTTTTGCTATTACAAGCATTGCTGTAGCGAAAAACTTTTAGATATCTCCTTTGGCACCTGTGCTACAATTTCTGTAGGGCGTGTAGAACTAGAACTACTGGGTACATTTCAGTTTTACTGGATATTGCCGAATTGCTTCCAAAGAGATTGTACAAGTTTGTTTTTGCATTAGCAGTGTAAGAGTTCTCATTGCTCACGTCTTTTCCAGCACTTTACAGTGGCAGGCTTTAAATTTTCATTAATCTGATCCATTCATTAAACAACTGTTGAATGCTGTTATGTGTCAGGCACTGTTGTAGGACTTGAGATGGATGATGGGACAAGGCAGAGGAGAGTCCTGCCTGTGAATCTTGCATTCAGTGCAGGAGGCAGACAGTAAACATAGTAAGTAAATTTAATAGTGTGTTCGAAGTTAATCTATAAACTGAAATCTACCTTTGGATTAAGGTAGGCCGTCTGAGAGCTGGGGACCTATACTCTAACGGACTGTTGTTCTCCTTTCCTTTACCGCCCCACCTGGGTCAAGGCTCCCTGATGACTTTACTGTATTGTGCTTTGGTGAACTATTTGAGGGGTGCTATAAGAAACAGCTCTCAGAAACTGTCATTTATGCATACTGTAGGGATAGATGTTGTTGAAGACATTGTTCATATCCTTACTGACACCCTTCTGGTGAGGTTCCACAGGGTAGATTCGTCTGACTTCAAATCCCAGCTCCTCCGTAAATCTCAGTTCTTCCTGTGTGACCTCAGACAAGATACTTATCCTCTCTGAACCTTAGGTCCTCAGTTCCTCCATGATAAAATGAGGATGATGTCTACCTCACAAGATTGTTATAAGGAATGGAAATGTTATATGCAAAACACTTAGCACAGTGCCTGGCATGGAGAGAACACTCAGTAAATGGCAGCAGTTGTTGTCAGGGATCATTGTGCGTTAAGCAGTCGGCTCATTTTGAGTGTGTGGACTCTGAGTCGAACAACTGATTGTGTTTATGTTGACTCGCTGAAATGTAATATTGGATTTGCGCTCTAGCAGCAGCTGGCAGTAGCCAAGCTCTTCATATATGCCAGGCATGGGCCAGACTGCACATGCATGACGTCATGTAGTCCTCACATCAGGGCATATTGTGGTTACTCAGGTATTATTGTCACTTCCATTTCAACCTTGGTAAATCCTTCCTGCAGTAAGGTAGGGAGATATCGAATACATGACTTTATGAGGTAGAAGGTATTCTTTTCATTTTAAAGTGAAGTGATGTGACCAGAATCCCTGGTTAATGAGGGATCGAGGGACAGGGCTGCCATCTAAACAGATCTTCTGACCTTCCTCTCCTGCTTTTTGTTTTTCCCTATATAGCTGCCTTGCTGTTTTCTTTATTTATGTTGCATGGAATGTAATTTCCTAAGATAGAAATGTGACAAGACCCCTTGGGGGGAGGAAGAGACACAGTTTCCATTAGGTTCTTCAAGGATGCCACATTCCAGAAAGTTAGATGTGAATGAGAGCTATGAGGGTGAATGGAAGCAAAAGGCACAGTTGGCAGTTGAAGCAGCATTTGGACACTGTTGGTGACCCTTTCCTTCTTGAAAGTCTTTTGTTCCTTGGTTCGGACCTCCTGACCTGTTTTGAGTCTCTTTTTTCTCTGCTTACTTTATTTTTCTCTTTCTCCTACCATTATATGGTGGTCTCCAAGAAGCTGTTTAATATCCCTCTCAGTCTCTAGCACAGTAATGTGCAGAATGCAAATGCTCATTAATGCAAGAATGAATGAAGCAAAGGTTTAAAAAAACATAATACACACACACACACACACACACACATATAATGTGTGTGTGCAGCTTAAAGAAGATGAGTAAAACAAACACCTTTGTACCTACCCTCAAACTACAGAAATCGAACCTGACCAATCACTTAGAAGTTCCTTGGGCCCCACTCTGGTCATGTCCCCAACCCTTCCCACTAGTAGTACTTCATTCCTTAATTTGGTGCTAATCACTCCCTCTCTGTTCTATATTGATTTACAACTTCCGTATGTACTCTTAAATAATATTTTGTAGTGTAACAACATATTGTCTAGTTTTGCATGTTTCAGAACTTTACATATTATAGTCTGTGATTGGCTCTCTTCATTCAGCATCTTTTTTGAAACTATTCAAATTTATTTATTTTTATTGTGGTAACTATAACATAAAACAACCATTTTAACCATCTGTATTGTTTCCTTAAGAATCATTTGTGGTTGTAACTTTTCATCACTGTGGAATTCCATTTTCCTTAGAGATTATAGGATCTTACCACAATAAAAAAATTGTAGAAAGAAAAAAGATTATAGGATCATTCAAGCTTACCATTCTAGTCAGTTTTTATCATTTTGATTTCTAGAAATTTACTTCATTACGTTTTCAAACTTATTGACACAAAGTTCATAATGCGTTGTAATCTCCATTATATCAGTAATTATTTTTTCTTTTTAATTTTAATAATATTTGTGTGTGTCTGCTCCCTTTTTTATCTGGATCATTCATGTCAGAGATTTGCAGAGTTTGCTTTGGTATTTTCAAAGAACCATCTTGCAGTTTGGGTGATCCTGTATTATACACTTGGTTGCTTTTTTATTAATTTCTACTCTTATTTTGTATTTTCTGTGTGTCTCACTTCTCAGTTGCTTTTTTTTTCCCCTCTTTAATTCCACCCCCCGCCCCACCACCACTCTTCCACCCCTGACCTATGGATGTTGCCGTTTCCCCTTAAGAACTGGATCTCTGAAGGTGGGGCGTCTCCTCCCACACGCTTGCCCTTGCCTGAGTTATGGTCCGCGGCTCCACCTGGGGCTGGAACCCAGGACCTTCTGCGTGTGCTAACCACTACATTATGGAGCCACCCCCTCAGTTTTTTTTATTCCCCTTTCTTGTCTTCTTTTTAATCAGTTATTTTTCCTGTACACAAACATGCCTCTTCATTTTTTCATTCTACAAATTGGGAAGTTTTATGATTTTTATGTTCTTTAGTGAACAGATTGATACTAGAAGAATTTTTTTAAAAAAGGTGAGGAATAAGGTAGATCACCAGACTTTACCTTAGAATGCCCCTTGCCGTTTTCATTCCACCCCAAGGTCTGCCCTAGGTCCTCTTCCTACTTCCCCCCCAATCCCCTGCCTCCCCCACGCACACATTGTTGCAATAGATGCTTCCTGAGTAGCCTATAATCCCTCCTCCCCCCACTCCATCCCTCACATGATCTCTGGTTATCTTTCCCAAAGCCGGGGTATAATCAAGTTGCTCCCCTGCACACGTCTTTGCTGGCAGGCTCTCCAGAGTTGGCCAGATAAAGTTCAGATTCCTTGGCATGGCATTTAAGGCCTAACATACTACTTTTCTTGCTTTCTCCATCTCCCCAAACCCCACTCTATAATAACCTTTATATAGGCATATTTAAAGTTTCCAGAACTAATCCTGTACTTTCCATTATATTTATTTAATCATAATATCCCTTCTTCCTCCCACCCCCCATCACGCATCAAGTCCCTTCCCAATCTCTACCTGTTTAAATCCTACTGATCCTTTAAAAGCCAAATTAAGTCACCTGCTTCCCTGCTTCTCTCTTGATTCCCCAAATGGAATTAATACCTACTTCTCCTGTTCCCTTATCACTATCCCTGCATTACTGGTGCAGTTCTGGCGTTTTCCAATGACACAGCCTATTATGTCTCAAGATAAGTTAAACAGCCACCTCCCTTCCTGACACCTCTTTTTCTCCCATTCAGATCTATGCCCTCAACAGAGTCATGACAGAACTGGAGCAGCAGCAGTTTGATGAGTTTTGTAAACAGATGCAGCCTCCTGGAGAGTGAGCCGCCCCATGTTCTGGGACCCTGGAGGCTTTTTCTGTGAGCTCATTACTGGTTTTAAGCTGAAATGGCCCATTTGGAGCCTTCCAGAACTAGACAAGAAGACATTTTTGTTATTCCTAAAACTGGATAAATCTGAACAACTCTATGTAACTTCTGTTACACTGGTTCTTCCAATCTGAATTAGCTAAATGCTTACTGAAGAGACTTGTTTTATTCTTCTAAGACAGTGTCCTTTTTTTTTTAACCTTTTTCTATTGTTTGAGAAAAATCAGTGTCTCTTGTGAAACTGCAAATCTCCAAAAATGCAAATAAAATACTAATAAAATGTGTGTTTATTCATACTTTAGTTTGGGGGTACCTAGCCATAGAAAATGGAGTCAGAAAGAATATACTACGAAAGAAAAGTGGAGGTGAGCAGAGGGAAGCCTTGGAGAGGAGTGGAGAGGGAAGAGGAGAAAGAACATGACTATTTCCAGGTCTCCTTCCTCCTGGGGCTGAAACTCTGCAGCCCTTCCTGATCCTCCATTTTTAGCCACACAGGTGTAAATCTGTGCCCTTTTACTCCCAGATGATCCACTATGCAGGGTCAGAGGCTGGAAGCAAGGATCTTCTCACCTCATGAATGTGGACAGCTAGCAGCAGGCCTGCACCAACAGGGAGGGGAGGTGCTTATGCATTTCCATTTTGGGGTGACTTTATCAGGCCTAGAAACAGGTTTATGATGGGATTATTCAAAGTGGAATGTCTGAGCTCAAGGGTATTTGTAAGTTTCTTAACCACATTATAGTAAACTTGTATATAGTTTACTACAACATACAATTCATTCATCTCCAAAGTAAACATTTTTGAGTGCCAGGTGCTATGGCAGGCGACCCAAATCCAAAAGCATGAACTGAAAACTTAAAATTGAGTGGAACACGGACATAATCATCTAACAAAAAATAAAAATGACAGAGATGAACAGAGGGCAGTGGGGAAGGGGAGAGGGCTGTCTGCTCCTGCAGAGCCCAATCAGAGCTGTGTGGGCTTCTTTGGATTTTTATTTGTAAATCCTAATTTTAGATTTAACATATATTTGCCGCATACATTCAAGAAGTTGGACCTGAGGTAAAAGGTGCTCTGGTGCCCTAGCTGAAGAAGGGGGACCAGCCAACAATTCTTAGCATACCATCTGGAGGGAGAAAGTCGAGGCAGTGCTCGGCTTCGTTGCTTTCGGTGGAGCTACGTTTTTCTGAGGGTTCCATACAATTTTTTAGGGTTCCATACAATTCTGTTTGTTTCTACTTGCCTTTGATTTTAGAACATGGAATGGTATTTGAATATCTAGAGCTTAGTATTTTAGAGCTTAGGAAAAAAACACATAATGAGGTTCTGAAAATTAAATGATGCCCTCAAGCTGCTAATATGTCTAATCTCTAAATGAAGCAAAAGGCAGAAGCTTTGTTGAAATGTAGAATTTTAAGTTACAAAATCCTGCGTACATTCAAGTTGGACAAAGTGACTGTCCTGTGATTTAGCTCTGCTCTGTGGAGCCAGAGTGTTAGTTCATTGCAGCATTACTTACAATAGCCAAGATATGGAAGCAACCTAAGTGTCCATCGATAGATGATTGGATAAAGAAGTGGTACATATATACAGTGGAAGATTAGTCAGCCATAACAAAGACTGAAATCTTACCATTTGCAACAACATGGATAGACCTAGAGGGTATTATGCTAAATGGAATAAGCCAAAGAAAGACAAATACCGTATGACTTCACTTATATGCGAAATCTAAAAAACAAACCAACAAAACAGAAACAAACTCATAGATACAGAAAACAAACTGATGGTTGCCAGATGGGAGTGGGGTTAGGGGGGCCTGGTGATAAAGGTGAAAGGATTAAGAAGTACAAATTGGCAATTAGAAAATAGGCGTGGAGATGTACAGTACAGCATAAGGAATATAGTCAATAATTATAATAACTATACGTATGGTGTCCAGCGGGCACTAGACTTCTTAGAGGGGTCACATTGTAAGTTACATAAATGTCTAACCACTATGCTGTACACCTGAAACTAACATAATATTGAATGTCAACTGTAATTGAAAAAAATTCTTTAAATTTGTAAAAAAAAAAAAAGAAATGCTTTAGTGAGCCAAGCCCCATCCCGCCAGTGGAGTAATTATGACCAGGCGGAGCAGAGGCAGAGGCTATACCAAGTCTGAAGGACTTCACTCCTTTCCAAGGGACTAACAGTGCACAAGGTCACCCGCCCCGCTCCCGTAATAGAGCTGGAACTCAAACCTGGCTCATATTTAGGTTGGAAAAAAAATCTTTTCATATGACATACGCAACTGTTGTGCTCAAGGGATTCAGATCCCTGAATTAAAGGGAAGAAGTGACGGCAGCTGGCCCTACTGTGGGTTGTTCCGGTTCAAAGCAACATGTATCTACCACATGCACGACACAGAAACGAGAAAAGATTTAGTGAGAATAAGGCAAGATTTGCCCAACAAGCTGGCGCAAACTCCATAGAGGCCAGTGGGAGTGGGTAGAACTGTTTAGTTTTTTTGATGCTGTAGCCTAAAACATGCTGCCTTGCCCCACAGAGCGTCTGGAAAGAAGATGTACGAGAGTGACCACATCAGGTAGTAAAAAGCTGTTAGTGAGAATGGAGACAAAAGCAACGTGATGACACCTGGAAGAAGACAAAAGGCAAACACTCAGTTTTAACAAAGCTGTCTTACGTGTATTTCCCATCCTATACTCTCCCATTCCTACTTACCTCCCAGATAAACCATTTTTTTCCAGCTCTCGGACTCCAGGATTTCATCATGTGGGTAGTAGCTTTGGTCTATCATGAATAGAATCATGAGTGAAGCCATGCAAGAGAGAATGAACGGGTTGCCTTTGGTCAGAAGGGAGGTGGAGGCCAAAACACTGGAAGCATAGGAGCAGGGTAGACCCTTATATGTGAAGGGAATGCGCTAGGGAAA